GATCGGACTCGGAGAACACCCGGCCGTTATCAGAGTCAGTCAGCGCTGTGCGTGTGTTGTTTTGTAACTTTCAACTTGTAAAATTAGGATGAGAAAAGTGTAAAAAGAGTCGGTAATTTGAAATAAGGTGGGAAAAAAAAATCCGAGCGATGTCATCAGAAGCAGGGAGGGCGGAGTTAATGCACACGCACGGTGATAATGGATACCTTCATGAGTGATGTGAGTTATTATTGATTATTTTTTAAATAATATTATGAATGAACCGTCTTCTTGTTATATCTAAAATTTTTGCTCAGACTCGGCTCAGAGAGCACAGAGATGATAGCAAATAAGTAAAGCTAACGTGGCACTGGACGAGCAATCGTTATTATAATCCAAATGGTCAAACAGTCTAAATTATTATGCAAGTTGACTCGAGATACAAAAAATGCAAAACTGCAAAGTTGCATTTGTCATCCGTCACCGTGACAGCAAGTGGACTTTTGAAACTGGAATAATGAGTGGATTACGCATTTCAATTGGCAAGAGAGGAATAACACGGATGGAACTTTCTTGGCAAGGAGGATTGTGTGCATCAGGACAGAGGTTGACCACTGACCTCTTGAGTCTGTTGAATATCTACGTTGGCGTGTACGTTTGTATGTGTAATCCAAAACATATAAAACCAAAACATGTTAACTAAACAATTAAACCGAGAGGAGCTCAGAATCAAAACTTTCATGGCCTTGTCTACATTCTGTACATAATGAGATATTTAACATTATGAGGGGGAAGATAACTGCGAAACTACAATATCAACTAGGGAGAAGGCTTCTTACATTAGGTAAGACAAAAAGTTTAATTTTCGCAACTTGTTTATCGACTTAATAGCAATTGGCTGTGGAATATGTGCCGATCGGGTCCAGTCGGGTCTGTGTCTTCCCGGCCGGGTTTGGGTCCATCTTTCAAATAATTGACGGTCCGTGTCTGTTCCGGGTAGTACATTTTTTACATTACTCGGTTCTGCACGGGCCCGGGTCCAACTTTCAAAATAATAGACGGGTCCGGGTCGGTTCGGTCTTCAGGATCATGAAGGTCTGCCTGTCCAGTAAGCTTTCAGGTGCACTAACAAAGAAACAGGATTTTACTCAAGGGCACAACCACCATCAAAACTGATGTGCCACCTTGCCATTCAGAATTTTTTTTTTTTTCCTCAATTTTTTTGGGAATTCAAAACCCTGAGCTGCTTTGAAAATGTCAATAGACAATAAAGCATGTGTCACACATGCAATGCTGCCTTAGAATGGCCAAAAATGGTATCTTATGCCAGGTATACGCGACACGATTTTACGCCTGATTTTCACTCGCCGACAAAAGCCTGAAATGTGAGGCACATTATCAAAGACACGATCTGAGAGAAGCGCCGATTTAGCAAACATTTGGGATTGTCCAAACTTCTGGAGCTGTCTGTGCCTCAGAGTCTTGCAGGGTGAAAATGTGTTTTGACTGGAAATGACATCACGACGACCTACAGTCAATGAGAGAGCACGATTCAGGGCATGGGAAATTTCAAGGGGAGGAATTGTAGTCTTGCGTCATTCCCTTGTCACTTCTCGCGATTTTTGAAATATTATGTAGAAATTTCAAAAAAAGCCATGTAGTGTGAAAGGAACAAGGATCCGACACCTTTGAAAATCATATAGTGTATACCTGACATTAGAAGGCAGTGTTATTTTATGCCTACTGTACTTTCCACATGACCGGTTTTTTTGCTCTAAAGTTGCTTTTTGGAATTTTCAGTGGTTTCTACATTTTTTTTTTCTCCTAAAATGTCAGAGAAAACATGAGATGCACAAGATAAAATGAACGTGGATAGCAGCTCAGATCATTTGGTACTGGTAGGATTTGATGAGTTCATATTGAAGTTGAAAGAATTTTGTATTTTTCACCACTTTCAGCAGACCGTGAGGCAGATGAAATGTAATATTACTGTAATCTCGCTCTCAAGAGCAGCAGGAAAATTTAAGGTCACCAAATGTCAGTATTGGCTTTCCATTAAGTGAACAATTGAGCTATGAAAGAGCCCTCATCCGTGATTTTGCTTTTTTACAGTCTCAATATAAGGATGCACCTATGATGTCTTGAAATGTTGTCTAGGTAGTCAGCTCATTGGGGTTTGGAGCAGAACTATAAACAATCTATGGCTTAATGTGAGCATGAAATAACATTAGACCAACAGATAAGGGACGTGAAAGCAAACCAAATAACCTTCTTTGCAGTGCGGTCTCTTTTCTGAGGCCTGACGTGTGACATGAAACCCGAATGCATAGTTCAAACATCTCCATTAAGCGGCTTCAAAGACTATGATCAGAAATAAAACTATTTAACATTGGAGGAAAAAAAAAAAAAACTAGTAACAGAAAGGTGATTTTTCTTTTTACAAAGAGTGAAAAAACAATTGTAACGCTATTCACATGTACCCGCTTTGTAAAAGGAATGGTTCCATTCAAAATAGGCCAGAGAGCTACTCCTAAAACTATGGAATGAACTGACACTCAGTAGTGCTAGAACAGAGTCATGTGACCAGGAACAGAGTCATGTGACCGGGAACAGAGTCATGTGACCGGGAATAGAGTCATGTGACCGGGAACAGAGTCTGAAGGGAGGTCGGATCTGTGGAGGTTGTGTTGGTGGGAGCAGCTTGGCCTGATCGGTTGGCTGTCAGTCTTCGAACACTTCCAGGAAGAGGGGCGGAAAGAGCTCCGTGGGACACTCCACCTTCATGTGCAGGAAGCGGCTGGCATGGCAGGCACCGATCATGCGCAGGTCTGTCACCTTCATCAGCAGCTTGGGCCAGAAGTGAGCCACCTTGTGCTTGCGGTAGTTGATGTAATGTTCGAAGGCCAAGAGGAACTCCTCCTGACAGCGCTCTATCCGCTCTACGCTCGTCAAACCTGGACGATCTGTCAGTGAAATAAAAGGGGCGAGTTTGATTTCAAAACACATTCAGACAGTCTAAATAAAAAAGCAGGACTTGAAGATGATGGCATGTGTTTTTATAATTCTTTATTCTATTCGGAGTCATTCAACTTCCAGAAGACAAGTAAGTGTGAACACAAGCTTGTTGATAGTGTTTATTTGCATGCGTCGTCTATGTTGTTTTACAGGGGTAGTTCACACAAGAATCTAATTTAACTTCCACTCTATGGACAAACAAAACAAAAACACTAAGACATTTCGGTTACACTTTACTTGAAGGGGTGTGCATAAGACTGACATGACACCTGCATAAGTTTTTTATGCATGTTTATGACAACTGTCATTAAGTGTCATTCGCTGTAATTTTTAATGCAAAGATGACATTGTTTGAGATGTCTTTGTGATGGGCTATGGTTAGGGGTAAGGGTAGGGGTAGGGTTAGGTCAAATAATGTCATATTTGCATTAAAAATGACATAACTGATCGAATGACACTTAATGACAGTTGTCATAAACATGCATAAAACCTCCTTCATATTCATGACATGTGTCATGTCATGATTATGAAGGCGTCTGGCAACTGTGCACTTAAATATAGTCACTTAGTCATGCGATGGCGCCGCAGACGGCAGCCTCAGTGTTTGGCTCTCCAGTGTTTGTACTGTTTTTGTTAGTTTTTCCTGTTTTTTGTTTCTCAAACACGATCAGTTTTACCAGGGATGAGCTGCTGAACATTCGGCAGAACACACCACACAATCTTCTACCGGATTTCGTTTATTCGGACGTTTTGCTGAACGTTGTACTTGGCGGAGCAGCTGCGCTGATCAAGCGCTTCAGGACGCGCAGACGGGGGAAGAGAGCCGGCGTGCTCGTGAAGCTCAGGAAGCGCGGATTCAGAACGGCGCTGCCTAGCATCCATCTGGCGAATCTCCGCTCTCTACCCAACAAAACGGACGAACTTCTTCTGCTCTCCCGGACAAATAAGGATTTTTCACACTCTGCTGCTCTGTGTTTCACGGAAACCTGGCTGAATGACGCCATTCCGGACAGCGCGCTACAACTGCCCGGCTTTCAGCTGTTTAGAGCAGACCGCGACGCAGAATCAACGGGGAAATCGCGCGGCGGCGGGACATGCTTTTACATCAATGAGAGGTGGTGTACAGATGTCGGAATTACGTAATTTAATTATAAAATAAATGTAACTGTAATCCGTTTACAGTTATTGAGAAATAATGTGTATTTAAAAGGGGGTTACATCTGAATATTTTCACACAAACACACACAGACACAGGTTTCCATGTTTTATGGGGACATTCCATAGGCCAAATTGTTTTTCTACTGTACAAACAGTATTTTCTATCCCCTTACCCTAAACCTACCCCTCACACAAAACTACAGGCATTTTTCCTTTTTCAAAACACTTTTTTGTTTGTTTCCTCATGGGGGAATGAGGAAAAATGGAAAATGAGTTTGTTTCCTCATGGGGACCTAAAAAATGTCCCCACAAGGTCAAAATTTACTGGTATTACTAGCCTTGTGGGGACATTTGGTGAATACCATTACACACCACACACACACACACAGATTTAATCGATTTATTTCCCAAATTGCACTGCCTGCTCTAAAATACACCGATGTTTCAGGAGTTTAGGACACAGAAAAGGACAATAACTCTTTTGATTTCCTATTTGATTTTATGTATATGCCTTATTTTTTAATATTAACTGTTTTTAAACCATTATAATCTTAATTGAAGTGATGAAGAAAGTCTGACAGTAATGAGTGTTGAGCACTACTGTAAGGTTAACCCTGCCTGCTTTAAATGTTTGAAGATGATTAACAGTTGAAAATATTCTTTAGAGATTTAGAAAAGTAATCAAATGTAATCAGTTACATTAATAAAGTAACTGAAATAGTTACACTACTTATTACATAGGGTAAATAGGTAACTTGTAATCTGTAACCTATTACATTTCCAAAGTATTAACATTACGCAACAACACAAGTCCAACATTAGTAACATTACGCAACAACACAAGTCCAACATTAGTAACATTATGCAACTCAAGGTTTTTGTACACTAATTTTAAAAAGCCAGTCTAAAATTACTGCTCACACGATGACGATCATTTTTCCCCGTTTTAAAACCCTGTTGACTGCCAGCTTTCAGTGGCACTGAAATGAATGAATCCACCACATTTTATAAAGAGCCTCATTGGCATAGAAAGGAGGCATGTTTACCCAGTAAACAATGACATTTTAAATACTAAACTCTATAGTGGCACAACTGTTGAATTCGCCTGACTGCAAATCTGTGCCACCAGTGTGCTAGAAATTCAACACTTAAAAAAAAAACCTTGATCAGGTTCGCTCAGCAGTAACACTGGACAATCTGTTTAAACGGGCAGGAATCGATAACAGATCTGTACAGGACTGGACGTGGGCACTGAAGTCTTTACCTATTGATTGAAACATTCTCAGTTAAAGTGTAGTCCTGTTTTAATAGCGTTATTAAAAGGTTTCCCCTCAGTGGCCTGTGTAATCGCACTCAGGAACAGCCGCTGCAGCTGGCCTAATAGCTTTAAACTGACTCCTGGTGGAAGTCACGGCTAGTTTTGACAACCGCCATTAATACGATTTTTTGCACTGTTCAAAATGATCGTTTTAGTCATAGTGCATCCTTCTTTACGACATTTATGCCTCTCTCTGACTGCATTTGCATGCACAAGGATATTCTCATATTTATTGGAATTTGGTCATGTTTTGATTATGAAGGTACAGTGACACATCGCTGCCACAAATATTATTTTTTCCACTCAAATATGTCGTAATAACGAGATGTTATGGCATAATTATCTCGTTAAAACAACATCTTTTCTCAAAATATTCCAAGACCAGGTTTGATCTGATCATCTTAAACAAGTCATATCCTCTGGGTCTGATTGCAATTACTGGATAGCATTATATTGTAGAAAGATTGGAGATTAATCCTAATAATGCCACTTCAATAAAAACAATAACATTAAAATACATTTAAAACAGTGTAACTTCAGGAACGTGCAGATCCTCGTTTATCTCAGGACTGTGGCGACAGCAGCGCGGACAATCACCTCGCTCACATAATGTAACATATCTTCTATGACGAAAAAAAACATTGTTTTTGTGACATAATATGCCGTTATTACGAGAAAATATGTGTCGTTTTAACAAGAAAAAGATATCATTTTAACGGCATAACATCTTGTTATTACAAGAAAAGATGTAGTTTTGACGAGAAAAAGATCTTGTTTTAACGACATCTCGTTATTTCAACATAATGTGGAAAAAATAATATGTGTGTGGCAGCAATGCGTCACCGTATGAAGGTGCCATGTAAATATGTTTTAACCCAATTTACCATTAGCCAATATTTTGTTACTAGAAATCCAAAGACAGCTAAGGAAGCCTGCTTCTGCCACTGAATAAAAAAAAAAAGGTAATTGCGACTTTTTTTTTATCTCGCTATTCTTTTTCTTCAAATTGCCTGATATAAACTCACAATTCTGACCCTTTTCACAGAATTGCAAGATATAAGCTCGTAATTGCAAATTATAAAGACAGAACGATATAAAGTCTCAATTGCGTGTTATAAAGTCAGAATTGCGAGTTTATATCTAATAGCATCGCAAAGGGGTGGAAAATTTCTGGAAACTTTCCAAAAAAATCCCTGGAATATTAAAAAAAAATCATGGAAAGTTTCCAAAATTTCTGGAATATTTCCGAAATTTACTGGAAATTTTCCAAATTTTTGCAACCCTAATATCTAATAATTCTAACATTATATCCCGCGATTCTGACTTTATAATTCGCAATTGTGAGTTTATATCTTGCAATTCTGAGAAAAAAGAATTGTGAGATAAAAAGTCAGTGGTGGAAACACTTCAATAGACAACTGACAAATGCCATGTAACATTCTTAGGATCTTTCACTGCAACAAGAAACTCAAGTTTGTAAAGAAGATTTGTGAGAAGAGAGATGGAGATTTTTGCAATAATATTTAAAAGGCCTGATTTTTGTGTGAACACATTTTACCATAATGTGATGGACAAGAAAAGATTAAAAGTGAGAATGGCACTGACCGGAGGAAAGCAGGATCACGGCTTGCAGCAGCGCCACCTCCGAATCATCTAGGTTGAAGGAGGACAGCGAGACGCCCAGATCAAAGATGGCATCTGAGACCACGCCCAGACCCCCGTTCTTGAGCTGGCCCCGTGTGACGGCCATCTCCCCGTTCAGCGTCAGAGTCTCGCTATCGGGGTCGTATCGCACCGCCGCTCGCAGGGACATGATCTCCATACAGCAGCCCTTCAGCAAAATGATCTGGTCCTCACAAGGCAGCTGAACAATGACACAAATTACACATTTATCACAGTCATAATATGTATAATTGTGTATCCAAACATGGGTAACTGCTAAAATGAGTTTCATTTAAAGTTGCAGAAAGCGATTTCTGGAAAACGCTGTTGATATTTGAAATCACCAAAACAAACAAGCCCTTACCCAAAAAGATCACACCCCTGTCTTGATGCCTCCGCCCCCACATTCATATACATGCTATATAATAATGATTAAGGGGTTAAAGCGGTCACTAAAAGAAAAAAACATTATATTAGAAGTATGTTATCTCACTTTCGGACACACTTCTGGAGTCGACGCTTGAAGCGGACTGTGGAGAAGGTTTAGACATTCCAGGCTTATAATGTGCAGAGAGTATATATATATATATATATATATTATAATATGATACAATCCATCTATGTATATATATATATATATATATACTGTGCAAAAGTCTTCGGCCATTTGAATTTTCACCAACAAAAAACAAATGGTTTTAAGTCAGCTGTTTCTATCTTTTGCTGTAGTGTGTCAGTAGGAAATACCAGTTTACATTTCCAGACATTTCTTTTGTCATTAATTGCAGGTTACTAATCCAGTGAGATTTTTGTATGCACAAGTAGTCTGACAACAGCCAGTGCTGCACACAGAGATCTGATCGCACCATCATCCAGTCTGTCTGAGATTACATGAAGAAACTGAGACAGACTAAATCCAGAAGAACTATGGCAACGTCTACAAAACACTTGAAGAACAACTGGCTGTTGTCAGACTCCTTGTGCATACAAAAATCTCACTGGATTATTACAATTAATGGCAAAAGGAATGTCTGGAAATGTAAACTGATATTTCCTACTGACACACTACAGCAAAAGATAGAAATAACGGACTTCAAAGCATTTTTTGTTGGTGAAAATACTAATGTATAAAGGCATTGGTAGACTGTAAACAGACTGTGTGGTCACAATTATGAATATGGGACTGGTGATATAAAATTCTCCTGTTTTAAATGTAAAATAAGCAGAATCATTGCAACATAAAGGGAAAAAAAGTGGAGATATGGTTAGAAAGCATGAAGCTTGCGGTGTCAGAATGCCAGTCTGTCATAAGCACATTTGAGCTTCTTCTTTTCCTTTTAACGGCGGTTGGCAAACACACTTAGGGATGGGCGTATCAATCCTGAAGTATCGATATATCAATACTGATGCGAGTATCGAAAATATCAATACTCAAATAAAAAATATCGATACTAAGGTGTTTTATTTACCAGTGATTTTGTTTAAAAAATAATAATTAAGGCATACAATATGCATCGAATTGGACGAATAACCTATGTTAGCGAATAATAATTGTGTAGGATAGAACTATTTTGCTGCTCATCTAAACACATGCAAATGTTGCAAGACAAAACCAATCAATCACAGAGAGCGTTCACTCCCAAAAATATCATAAGAAAACATTGACGCTTTTGGGAACGGCAGCCCAGAACAATGCTTATCAGAGGACAGAAAAAAACATGTTTGAGTTATTTCACAATAAATAAACTGAAATTGTAGCCTACATAGTTTGTGCAATTACATTTATTTAAATGGAACGTTAAAAGTTCATATTGATCATGTTCTATTCTGTAATGTTATTATAAATCATACACTGTCAGAAAAAAAACGTTGCATTTTATGCGTGCAACAGCCTGTCACTGGCAGTCCCTTATGAAAATGAACCATGGTTTTACTAAAGTGACGCCGTTCCCAAAAGCGTCAATGTTTTCTTATGATATTTTTGGGAGTGAACGCTCTCTGTGATTGATTGGTTTTGTCTTGCAACATTTGCATGTGTTTAGATGAGCAGCAAAATAGTTCTATCCTACACAATTATTATTCGCTAACATAGGTTATTCGTCCAATTCAATGCATATTGTATGCCTTAATTATTATTTTTTAAACAAAATCACTGGTAAATAAAACACCTTAGTATCGATATTTTTTATTTGAGTATTGATATTTTCGATACTCGCATCAGTATTGATATATCGATACTTCAGGATTGATACGCCCATCCCTAAGTGTGTTTGCCAACCGCCGTTAAAAGGAAAAGAAGAAGCTCAAATGTGCTTATGACAGACTGGCATTCTGACACCGCAAGCTTCATGCTTTCTAACCATATCTCCACTTTTTTTCCCTTTATGTTGCAATGATTCTGCTTATTTTACATTTAAAACAGGAGAATTTTATATCACCAGTCCCATATTCATAATTGTGACCACACAGTCTGTTTACAGTCTACCAATGCCTTTATACATTAGTATTTTCACCAACAAAAAATGCTTTGAAGTCCGTTATTTCTATCTTTTGCTGTAGTGTGTCAGTAGGAAATACCAGTTTACATTTCCAGACATTTCTTTTGTCATTAATTGCAGGTTACTAATCCAGTGAGATTTTTGTATGCACAAGTAGTCTGACAACAGCCAGTGCTGCACACAGAGATCTGATCGCACCATCATCCAGTCTGTCTGAGATTACATGAAGAAACTGAGACAGACTAAATCCAGAAGAACTATGGCAACGTCTACAAAACACTTGAAGAACAACTGGCTGTTGTCAGACTCCTTGTGCATACAAAAATCTCACTGGATTATTACAATTAATGGCAAAAGGAATGTCTGGAAATGTAAACTGATATTTCCTACTGACACACTACAGCAAAAGATAGAAATAACGGACTTCAAAGCATTTTTTGTTGGTGAAAATACTAATGTATAAAGGCATTGGTAGACTGTAAACAGACTGTGTGGTCACAATTATGAATATGGGACTGGTGATATAAAATTCTCCTGTTTTAAATGTAAAATAAGCAGAATCATTGCAACATAAAGGGAAAAAAAGTGGAGATATGGTTAGAAAGCATGAAGCTTGCGGTGTCAGAATGCCAGTCTGTCATAAGCACATTTGAGCTTCTTCTTTTCCTTTTAACGGCGGTTGGCAAACACACTTAGGGATGGGCGTATCAATCCTGAAGTATCGATATATCAATACTGATGCGAGTATCGAAAATATCAATACTCAAATAAAAAATATCGATACTAAGGTGTTTTATTTACCAGTGATTTTGTTTAAAAAATAATAATTAAGGCATACAATATGCATCGAATTGGACGAATAACCTATGTTAGCGAATAATAATTGTGTAGGATAGAACTATTTTGCTGCTCATCTAAACACATGCAAATGTTGCAAGACAAAACCAATCAATCACAGAGAGCGTTCACTCCCAAAAATATCATAAGAAAACATTGACGCTTTTGGGAACGGCAGCCCAGAACAATGCTTATCAGAGGACAGAAAAAAACATGTTTGAGTTATTTCACAATAAATAAACTGAAATTGTAGCCTACATAGTTTGTGCAATTACATTTATTTAAATGGAACGTTAAAAGTTCATATTGATCATGTTCTATTCTGTAATGTTATTATAAATCATACACTGTCAGCCCTTATGAATGGTTTTACTAAAGTGACCGTAGTTCAACTATAGTATTTGATTTGTAGATTTCCATGGTTTCCATGGTTACAAACATATTTTAACCATGCGTAAGCAAAAATATAACCTAAGTTGCAATTAAGGCGTATTGAATGTTAAAATGTGTTTCAAATATAAAGTTAAGTGG